TTGCTGGACAGAATTAGTAGTTCGCATATTGGATTCACTTGTTGGAATTTCTCATGAATGCGACTGTAGCATTAAACAATTTTGGTAGGTAATACTAAAATAAAACCCCTTAAACATGTAAAGCCTGTGGTTCCACCCATAAACCCCTCTTCAGTTTATAAATACAGATGTTTGCTACTTGACAGATTAAACTCTAAAACAGAAGCAATACAGTCCAAGGGCAGCAAAGTGCAGACATATAGGTTTGATCAGTAAAGTGACCAGGTCTTTGCTTTCCAACAAACAATATCCAACAATATGCAGGAAATGTTCATGAACTAGTAGCACATTGTGAATTAATTTGATCCCTTCAAATATTTTATAAGTAATAAGAAGCCTCTGCTTGATAGCAATTCCACATCTAGCAGAACAAAGTAGGCCCCAAGAAATGAATTTGATTATTTGTCTGGGCCGTTATCTGCTTTACCCAGGACAAATATAACCGGATCTAAATACATAACACAATCTAGATATTGAGCAGTAAGATCAGCAGTTATAACCCTAAAGTCTATAATGATCTAGCAGTAAAATATTCGTAACTATGAGATTATGGATGGACTGACTGCAATATTCACTTATTATTCATAGTTGTGAACCACATATTTTATATTTTTTTATTTTCATGATGGAAAATTAAATAGAGGGGTATGTATCATACTATATTATAGAGGTTGATAAATATCTTCCACCATCAGTGGAACCTGCTTTACCATACTCCATAATGTCAACAGCTCAATGCAATACTGTGCTGAATATAGGAAAACTAAAACTGCAGTTGAGCTAGATAAGCAGTGTTTAGTCTGTTTAGATCTTGTATATATTTTGCTTGCCACATTCCTTGGCCACCTCACACTCCACCAATTATTTTCCATCTGATGCTTACTTTGTTAGTATGTTATCTCCCAGTATATACTATGGCTATAGAAAAGTAAATGACTGGAATAATTCCACCCTGAAAAGTTTTATAACACTCACTTTGATTCCATAATACGCTATTAAAACTGGCCTTGGACATCACCCAGACCTTCCCAAGTTTCTCTCCCTTTAAGCCAATGGTTAAATGTGGTGAGTACTTAATTACCTTTTCTACACAGAAAAAGAAAGTGTTGCCCCCACTTGTATGTAAAGTTGTATGTGATTATAAGTGTTTTTCTCGTGGTTAGAAGTTTTATCACTCCCAAGAAAATACTTACAAAGCCTAATCCTCACCCGATTATTGCGACCAGGTTATCCTTCAGAAGGCAGAAAATGATCTTAACAACTGCTGTATGTAGATGCATTTAAATATTACCAAGATTGAGGCAAGTTTTTTTTTAGAAGTTTGGCTAAATAAGTTTAACTTTACTCTAAAAAAAACTCAGATTGAAACTTGGTAGATGCTTGGTTTAAATAAATAGAAGAATATTTATCAATATACAGACTCTTTCTGATAATGCTAACTCCAGGGTCCCTGTGGCACATTTGTTACTAAATTTTGAACAAAAAGATTTGGAGTGAATGTATCTGTGGAGGGTTCTTAAAAAAGTTGGTATCCCAAACATCCTCATCCTGCTGATCCAGTTATGTTATCATAATTTTCAAGCAAACGTTACAATACAGTGCATTAGAATATCTCTCCTTTCTTCTGATTAGGCCATTGCATGGTACAGACCTGTCCTTCTCCTCTATATTTTACAATTGAACCCTTAGCAAATCCATCTTAGTGTGGCACTAACCCTGGTAGTTCAAACGCAGCTGGCCTGGAGCAGAGTTTCTTCCTGTATAAAGATAGAATGTTGCATATTCTAATAACAGTTCCTTATCTGTCCAACTGGATCATAGATGATTTCATTGCCATAAGTAGTAGTGCTTGCCATGTTTAAGTTAACCCTTGTGCCTGTTCCAGGTCGTGGCACTGCATAGCCTTTTTATCTCCCCATTTAGGAGGACATGAATTTCTTTAAAATAATAATTTAAAAAACGTTCTATGTTTTGGTATATTTTTGTACTGTATATGACTAGTTTGTATTAGAAGACATGTTTTACAGCTTTATGTAGGTCCTGGGATCTCAGCAGTTTTTGCTTGAAGCTGCACACATTTTATTGCTATTCCTGACATTGATCTCTAGGCATCCAAGTCAAAATTCTCTGGCATATTGTACATAATGAGATCTTACCAACTGAAAACTAAGATTCACTTTCATAATAATATGTTCTTTCTACTCACACATGCCATGGCATGTTCTCCAAACACTTTTTATAGAGAAAGTAATCTCACACCATAATATCTTCACATGAATTTAATATGTGTAGAATATATGAAAAATCTCAGCGATTATCAGATATACAATATAGCTGAACCACAATACAGTATTTATATATAGGTCACAAAATGTAGTATTATAAAAAGAAGGAAACAGGATTCAACTTATTTGAAAAATGCTACAATAGCTACAATTTGCCACTGTACAACCAGCATTGTATTAACCAGTGGCGGAACAATCGCCATAGTGACCCAGACGGCCGCTATGGGGAACGGGGCACAGGGGGGCCCAGCCAGGACATCCGCCTGAAGCCATGCGGGCCGCCTGGGTCGCTATGGCAGCTCAGGCTGCTTGCTATCACTGGCGGCTGTGAGGAGGAATGTGCCGCTATTCACATCACTGACAACCTGAGTTGGTGACAACCAGTAGCTTCGGAGGAGGTGGCTGGGCCCATCGTCGGCGGTGATGGAGGAGGTGGGGCCCAGCGATGGAGGTGGGGCCAGTGACAGAGGAGGCGGGGCCACCAGCGGCCATGAAGGAGAAGGAGTTGGATAGATGATTGGGACTGACAGGTAAGAGGGTGGGCTGTTTGGGTTATCAGGTGGGCGTAACTAGAAATCACAGGGCCCTATACAAAATTTTGCTATGGGGCCCGGTGATTTCTATTTACGCCCCTAGTATTAACCATACACAGTATAGCAGTATTACAGATAACAACTATGTGTAGCACAACATAAGATAAAAAAATATCAGGCAGCACGGCATATAACAAGAGAGAGGAGGCTAACTGTTAAAGGGATATTAAAGTCAAAAGGCTTTTAAGCTATTTCAAATGCTGAATAAATCACTTACAATGGATGCTGTTTCTTGATATTTAAAAGTTTTAGTTTCCTGTAGAATCAGCTGGTCACCTGAGCACTGGCCTTAATATTCTGTTTTAGAGTCTCTTCCCCATGCAGGGTCCCATAGAGCCCCCCTTGCGTGTGCTAGTAAGCTGTGTGTTTCTCCACAAAAAAACACAGACACAGCAAGGAAAAAACACTTCCCAGCTGCCTGATTCCCACTTTTCCTCCATCCTCCCTTCTCCAGGCTAATAGATAGGCAGCTACTGGAGACTACTCCATCTGTGATATTGTGATCTTGTACAGGAAAAGAACATCCCTGCTGATAACACAAAGGTAAAGATATTCCACTTTCTGTCTTAATGTCCAAAACCTTTTTTGTGTGTTTGTTGAACAATGTAAATTTGTGTCAGGATATCATGCACGGGTGTCCCCACACGGCATGCAGGTATCTGTACGGGAGGACGAAATACGTGACCACACCAGATAATGCTTATGAACTTATAGTTTAATAGACATACCAAAATCATATAAACATAAGCAACCCCACCAACACCCACCAGTAACATAAAATAGCCAAACTAAATACAAATAGCAAAATCACAGACAGACAATAACAGGGCTAGTGAGGGCCTGTTCACATGAGTTTCATGTCCTGATCAGGTCCGAATCTGCAGACGCGGTGCTACTGATGCAGTGCGTTTTGGTCGCGTTTTGGGGCTGTTAGTATGTTAGCTGCAGTGCGTTTTTGACGCGTTTGCGTTTCCTGACCGTACAAAATGTGACATGCAGTATTTTTCTGTCGTAACCTGAACGGACTGCACACGTGAGAACTGTAGCCCATAAAACACATAGGGATACATTGGGATGCATTTTGAGTGCAGGAGCGTACGGATCAGGTCAGCACACAAAACGGACGTCGTGTGAACAGGCTGAACCTCACTGTGAATTGCAGGTTCCAGCACCACCCAGTGGTGGTCTGGTACCTGACAGCCCCTGGCTGCCTGGAGACACCTGCAGGTGAGCACCGGAATTGCAGGACCAGGTTCCAGCACCACCTGGAGGTACTCTGGTCCCTGACAATTTGTCTCTCAACCTTCAAGTGAGTCCTTTATCATTTCTAGGGTGTTCTAACAAGTTTGAATTCAACTGTGCCCAAGTACGACTATCCCCCCTCCCAACTTCCCCACTGGTCACACAATGTTACGAGGAAGCATTATTGGGTATGTTTACATCATCTCCTTTGTCAGCACAACCACAGTGAATCGCCTTTCCGCGCTTCTTGATCATTGCGATTTCAGTACTCAGGCACGGTTTGTACTCACACTGAAGTGAACTGTGCAAGACTCCAAATGAACTGTGGCCCAGACCACCTCTTTCATTCGGTCCTGGGCATGGTATGCTTAACTGTGCCTGGGCATGGTTTTAGAGCGCTCACGCCACACAGATGAACCAGACTAAAGCTGGCTATAACACTGAGCTAATTTCAACTTGTTCTTGATGAATTGGCCAAAACTCAATAAAAAGGTGGCCCTGTCTGCCAGCTCCCTTGGGACATCCTTTGACTGAGAAATTGAAGAGGTTGGGTGGAAATCAGGTGCAGGCATTGCTCAAGTATTTTGACAGCTGGCAGGGCAGGACAAAACTTGCAAACTTCTATGACCTCACTATATATTTAAAACATGTGCTCTAGAAATGCTTCTTATTTAAAGTTCAGTCAATTTCCATCATCTGTGAACCATCACTGGACTAGGAGGAAGAACCCTTTTTGGAATTTCATTGTATGTCATCAGTACAATATATACATAAATGTAAATGTGAGCCATCTTCTGACATGCTGTATTTGCAGAGACTTTTGTTCTACCTGTGATCTTATTTAAAGTGACACTAAACTCAGGAGTTAAACCTAAAAAATGCATTCAAGTACTTTAAGTATTAACAAAAATGTATCTTATTTGTGCATCACTCAGCTGTAGATCCTCAAAACATCTCTGAATTCATGCTGATACTGTCCTTCCTTCTGGAGGGTGGCTACTTTTGTTCCTGTGTCTGTTGTAAAGTAGCCACCGCTCCAAGCTCACTCCCGTGATGGACAACAATCTCACGTTTATTTTATTAATTTGTACTGACATTGTAGTCTATCAAGGGAGTGAGCTTGGAGCGGTGTCTACTTTGTCTAATTAGACTAAAAGGACACACTTGTGCTATGCATGACCAATATCTTGTCAATGCTGCAATTACTTTTGTCTCATCTGCCACAAGACCCTCGGTAAGGAGATGCCATCACAGCCAAGAGGACCAGCCCTAGGCCATCAGTATTGTCTAAAATGGCCAATTAGTTTCTAAAGGACGGATGAAGAGCACACATGCACAAAATGTTCTGCTTGAAAAGGTTTAAGTGTGCCTTATAGTGAATAGACCGTTTTTAGAGGAAGTAAGAGGAAATCCTTTTAGTACGGGTGTGTGTGGACAGTTATTGCCAACAAATACTCTGTTTGATGACAACTAATTTGATATATAAATATTACAGTCTTTTTCTCAGAGGTTTATCAGTCCATATTTAAGCGAATTGTGTCAGACAGACAACACAGTTTTAACTTTCAATTTTATCTGACAATGAATGTCAGTACAATAAGAGATTATAACAGATATATAAGAGATAAGATTATGGAATGGCATAGAAGCCGCAGAAGATAATTTTGTATTACGTCTATATATTTTTATACTGATGTGCTATGTAGGAAAGCTAAGCTCAGACTGAATTGAAAATGTAACCTAAGACAACCCTTCTCAGTGATATGCTTATAGTACTGAGTTTAATGTTTACTACTAGTGATGAGACTGGGCTCGGTGCAAACTCAGTTCAGCCAAGCGAGCTCAGTACTCGGACGGCCTTCCTCTCCTCTCAACCCAGTCGGTTTCGGGGAGGTGCATTCTCTGCTCTGAAGCTACAATGCAAATGGCAGTGAACTACCCCTATCTGCCACTATGGATTGACTTGGGGGGAGGAGGTGGCGGGAAAAGTTGTGAGTGGACTTGGGCAAACCTAGGCAAACTGAGTTTGGGTCAAACCCAGCTTCATCTATACTGGCTACACATATTTGAATCAGATTGTATAATCTCTTAAAATAGATGTAAACCTCATGGATGACACATGGGGCTTCATTTATAGAAGTGTACAGCCGGGCTCATGCTGTTTTCATGGCACTAGCAGACCTAGATGGCGCTGAGGAGTAAAAGAATTCCTATACTTTTCAGCACCATTTAAGGGTGCTAGTGCCATGCCCAGCTATACTGGGAACTTTTATTAATGAAGCCCTTAGTTTGCTAAAGTAAAAAACAATCGCCATTTTTTTTGTCAAGAAAATACTGTTTACACATTTTTTTTCATCCTTTGTTGCATCTCAGTGCTGCTTACCTCCTGCAGCCACTTTTCAACCCATTTTGTCTGTATGCTCTTGCTGTAGTGGGAGCTGTGCATCTTTGCTCAGGACGGGCTTCCCAATAGTGACAATGGTGGACTATGTCTGTGTAATGAGCACTGGCTCAACCACTAATAATCTCCACCCAGAGCCCATGTGATAGGGGTGACAATGCAGATGAGCTATTGAGAGAAAGGCACAGAGCAATGTTATCCTATAACAGGAAGTGCCTGAACAAAGATCTTAATGGCAGTTTAATCAGCTATTATTTGTGAAAAAAATTACATTAAAGTAGAACTATGGCCTCCCATGAAAAAAGAATTGTGCTTCAGCAAGTAATTATATTTGCATCTGCCGTTTTCTCTTAATCCCCCTACAAAGTCCAAGAAATACCTGTTGATTCTCCTAGTGAAGTCCACCTAATGCAGCTTCCTGTGATGTGTGTTTGGCAACAATGCTGCACTGCTCCTGATTCCACAGCAGAGTTGCAGCTCTCATGTACGATGTGATGAGAAGATTTTGCAGGGGATATGGATATCAGTATTCTCACTTTTAATTCACGAGTCTGTAGCTTGTCAATCAGCACCTGGCTACACCTACTCCTGCCTACTGCTTTCTGGATTGACAGTGCTGCCTCTATTGCTGAAACCTTCCCACTGTGAGCTGCAGTGTCTGGAAGGGGAGCACGTAAGGCACAAAGGAAGGAGGATTTAGCTCAGTCAGGGTAGGTAAAGAAAGTTTCATGGTTACATTATGAGGCCTGTGAATTTGGCACGTGTTTAGGCTGTCATACAGGCACATTTAGTGCTGTAAAGATTATGTGAGATTTTTGTGATTGGATTTACATCTAGCCAGAACAAATGTTCCTATTTGCTGCTTCAGGGCGGGAGGGAGCTGCCTCTCCGCTCTGATGCAATACATGGAGAAACAGACAGGTGGGCGGGCGAGGGGGCGGGCATGCGTGCGGGGGGGGGGGGTCGGCAGGGGATGGTTGAATAAAAGTTTTATTTTTATCACACTTTTTAATATGTTTCTTTGCGGCTTAACAAAATAGGAGTCTTTAAATGGTGCATATATTGGGGGAAATGGGTGTGGTTACGGGGGCGTGGCCACTAAAGGGTGTGGCCACTGAGGGGCGCTGTAAAGCTTTCTCGCACAGGGCGCCTAAAGGCCTAAGGCCGGCCCTGAAAGTACCGCAGCGCTGAATACTGAAAAATGGCCTGGATGGGAAGGGGGTTTAACACCGCGGATGTCAACTGGTTAATCTCTATCCAAGCTGGTTGGAAGATCTAAAGGAGGTTGTACAATTGAATTGCAACATGTATAGCCACTAGCCAGCTTTAGGCTCCATCTTCTCCTGCTCCTGTTACTGGGTCAAAGCCAGCAGAAACTTTGGCTCAATCACAGAGAGCTTGGTAAACAATGATTTTAGACACCAAAAAAGACACAATGATTTCATAATTTAGGCCATTATACATTTTGACAGCATTTTTCTAAACTTTGCCATTCCTTTTTTTGTTGCTTATTTTATCATTTACAAACCCTTCAACATATCACTTTTCAGAATAAGAGTCTGGCCTTGTACAAAACAAGATTTAGACAGCTGTGTTATTTTGTAACATGTTCCGCGTCATGTTGTTTGTGAACAGTATGGCTTTAGTGTTAGATTCTTGTAGTTTAAGACCTGTGCACAGTGTAAATTATACCATCTGTTGTTGTTACTCTAAATCTAAAGTTTAAAGAAGAACTCCAGGAAAACGTTTTTTTTAACCCTTGCAGTGGTGCTACCCCCGCACTGCAAGGGTTAAGTGCTCGTTTTTGCCTAAGGTCAAAAATAACAAAGATATATTCACCCAATTCTTGGAGCCAGCAGGCTTTGACAGGCCCTGTCTGCTGTCTGTCGCCCCTCGCAGCAGCATTGGAATCTTCCTCAGCATCCTCACATCTATACACTGTGTATAGGCGTGATGATTTACGGAAACTTAGACTGCTGCAGAGGAAGGGGAGAGACAAGCTGGCTCAGAGCATCAGGTGAGTATAACTTTTTTTTTTAACCTAGACATAAATGAGCACTTAACCCTTGCAGTGCAGGGGTAACCCCGCTGCAAGGGTTAATAACATTTTTTCCTGGAATTCTTCTTCAAAGATTTTTTTAACCCCTGCCGTAAGGCTACCCCTGCATTGCAAGAGTTAACTGCTCATTTTTTGTCTAGGTGCTAAAAAAAAATATGTCTACCTAAGCGTCGGAGCTGGCTGGTTGATACTCAAGTACCGGAAGTCTCTCTCCTCCCACGCTGCAAAGATGGTATGTCCCTCGACGTCCTCCCATTCTATATAATGTATAGAATGGGATGACTCAAGGATTCTTAGAACGCTGGAGCGGAGGGGGAGAGAGGCTGCTGGGGCCCATCTAAGAGCAAGAGTATAACTTTTTTTAGCTCCTAGACAAAACGAGCACTTAATCTTTGCAGTGCGCACATAGCCCCACTAAGAAAAACATTTGGCTGGTTCTGCTTTAACAGCCATTTTTTTTTTTAGTTTTTTACCAGATAGGGAAGGGTTAGAACCTCCCTTTCTATTTGTAGGTATTTACCTTCACCGTGTAGTAGGTCAATGTCTGTTTATTTTAATAAAAAAAAGTTTTCAGTACCTAGACTAAAACAAGCAGTTAAACCTTGCAGTGTGGGGAAAGCCACGGCAAGGGTTAATACAAATTTCCCCCAGAGTTCTTCTTTAAATAGACCCCCCATCCCCCATAGCATAGCCTTATTACCCATTGATCATGTACAGTAAGTAGATCTGTTATTTTTTTAACTACCTTAAACAGTCAAGGTGTCCAGCAAAAGCTTCCGTCACAGGGGTTGGATCAAACCAGATATCAATGACAGGGATTTTCAAATTAGCTTCTATTCATGTGGCTTTAACCTTATATCCAAAGAAAAAAAAATAAGTTGTTGTAACTAGAGGTGCACCGAAATTAACATTTTTAAACCGAAATAAAAAAAATGTCAGGTCGAAACCGAAAATCTTTTTTAATTTAGCTTTTTCAAATTTTTCAAATATTTTATTTATTTTATAAACTTTTTTATGAACTTTTTAATATTTATTATTATTTATTTCTTCATTTTTTATTAAATATTTTTATTTTTTACTTTACTTTTAGGTGCTTTGGGGAAATATTAGGGGTCTAAATAGAGCCCTGATATTTCCCTTTTAAAATAGAAAAAAAAAGATTGAGGACACAGAGTCCCAGTTATAAATGAACAGAAATCCTCTATACTGAGTGTTCCTGTTCATTCATAACTTGGAGATAGTATGTTTACTATAACCCCAAACATGAATGAACAGGAGGTGATGTAGATCACTCCCATTCATTCATAATTGAGGATATAGTAAACATACTCTGATCGCTGAGTGTTTGTACCTCGCTCTCCATCCTGACAGCAGTCACAGGAGGCTGAGCGAGCGGAGCGGGAGGAGAGCTCAGCCTCCTGTAACAGCGCTGGCTGTCTCCGCCCACACACTGTTCTCCTCTGATCTGTGACAGGAGGCTGAGCGGTGCAGGGAGGAGAGACAACGGCCGCTCACAGTGGTCTCCTCCCGCAGCGCTCGGCCACCTGTGACAGTTTCTCTCCTCCCCCGATGGGACACAGAGCAGTGCCCAGTGGAGTGGAGAGAAAGAATGGATGCACTGCTGTATCAGCCAGAAAATTGCACTTTTGGCATCATGCCAAAAGTGCCATTTTCGGTCGATATATCAGTGCATCCCTGCTACTGTAATTATTACACTATAATTTGTTTGTCTCCATTTAAAACAACATGTCCATCTAAGATTACCCTGTTCAGGGTGACAACAATGCTGTGCAACTTCATTGCAGAACAAACAACGCTGTCACCCTGTTAGAGATCGTGGAAAAATAAAGAATACTGGCAGGAGCAACATGTGATAAAACTATGTTACAGGGGAGACGGCGAAAAACCAACTCATCTGTGTTAATGTTATTGACAGACTGCATTATACAGTATCTCACAGAAGTGAGTACACCCCTCACATTTTTGTAAATATTTTATTATACCATTTCATGTGACGACACAGAAGAAATGACACTTTGCTACAATGTAAAGTAGTGAGTGTACAGCTTGTACTGTATATCAGTGTGCATTTGCTGTCCCCTCAAAATAACTCAACACACAGCCATTAATGTCTAAACCGCTGTATATGTCATTTTTAGTTCTGGTAATAGCTATACTTTACATAATTTTATGTGTATGCAGACTTTTAGGGTTAGAATTTCATCTTGGATTCAGAAATATCTCATGAGTCAAGAAATAAATCGTTGTATGCATTATTTTATCTTTAGGTAGCATTCATCTATAAAATGAGTTTGTAACCAAAAATATCCATACCGTAAGCTAGCTTTGAGACACCGGCCAAAACAGCAATGCATTGGCAGCAGAATGTATGTGGATATATTTATGACAATTGTCTTGTGATTTTGGATGCAGGGAAGTGATGATGGATACTTGAGGAAATCTTGCTACCAAACAAGACCTGTCAGTTCTGAACAGAAGCAATGGAAGAAGAGTGATGAGGAGGATGAGCAAGCCTCTGCTGTTACCGTGGATGTGAGTTTCTTAATTCATTCTATTCTACTTGCTAGAGGGAGATTGCTAAACAATGGATTTGCATATTAGAGGCTGAGATCTAACCATTTATAATCAAGTGAACCCTTTATCAAGGGACATTAAAGGACAATCTGTGTCATACATAATTATTTTTGGTGAGTGTGTTCAAACTTGTTTATTGCAGGGCAAAATAACAGGTACACTTTATTGTAGCACTTCAGGGCACTTACCCTTCCTTCCCCTCTTACTAATTCGTTCAGCTGCCCAGAGTGAAGGAATGTTCTGTGTAAGCTATGTGTCACTGGAATTGTAGTCTACACAGAGCTAATGACTTCTCATGTGACAGCAGAAATTGCCGAGCAATGTAACATGGAGTGCACCACATGCTCATCCATACCCCATAGTACTAGGCATTTCCTTTGGCTCATAGCACTAAGTGAAGTGGGGTGGGAGTGAAAGAATGAAGTATATACTGGGGTGGGGTGGGGGAAATTAATCACTTCAGCTCTTGTACCTTTATTCCCCTCGTGGATCAGAGCAATTTTATATTTCCACTATGGGCTTGTTTATTCAACGATAGCTTTTCATTATTTTAGATAACAAAGTAAACATACATTGGGGGGAATTTATCAAAACTGGAGCAGACAAAATCTGGAGCAGCTGTGCATGGCAACCAATCAGCTTCTCTCTTTCATTTTCAAATCTCAGCTGAACAAACTGAACATAGAAGCTGATTGATTGCCATGGGTAACTGCTCCAGTTTCTGTCTGCTCCAGTTTTGAGAAATCCCCCCCATTGTATTTTTGGGACAATCTAGGCTTTTCTTTGGCCATGTTGTCTTGAAAAAATATTTTATTTTGTAATCTATAGACAAAAACTTTTTTTGTTTTTTTTTTTAAAGTGTTTTTTCTGTATATAAAAATATACATTCTATTCTATATTTGTCCCATTTTAAATTGCACTAAAATGATGTTTCTGGTACAAAGCATGGCAAAGTTTTTTGCAAATGGAAAAAAAAATGTTTTTTTTTACTCAAGAAAATCCTTTTCTTGGAAGTTCATTAAGGGACACAGGATTCAGAGACATGTGGATTATATTGCCACAAGCAGGAGCATATGGAGACTGGCAATCAAAAAAACAGTGACCAGCCTGGCATGCCTCAGTTTTGTAACAAGCAATGCCGAGAGCAAGACCAAAAACACAGAGGGATGAGACCTGTTGTAGAAAGATGATGTCCAAAAGCAGTCCAGCTGAGGGGGGCAACACAGCAAACAAAACACTAAAAGGTGTCAGCCTTGCAAATTTAAACAGCTGCCTGATGCTGAAAGCCCAAGAGGCACTCGCAGATCTAGTTGGTCTTGACTGGAAAGGGTGGAACCCCATTTAAGACCATAATTTGTCTGAGCCACCTAGAAATGTTAGAACAAGAAGTTGCTTCCCCTTTGCAGGAACCATTAGGGATGACAAAGAGGTAGTCAGTCTTTCTAGTGGAAGCAGTGGCTGAGTGGTAGACACTTACAGCACAAACAACATGCCAACTATGAAGGGAAATCTCTTTCTGATGTACTTCGGCTGGACAGAGGGATAAAAGCATCATGCCCTGGCTAAGGTGAAAGACAGAAACCACTTTGGGAAAAAAGGAGGCTCTAGGCCTTAATACAACTTTGTTGCTGTAAAAGACCAGAAAAACAATTCCTATAGCAGTCTTTCTCAACCGGGGTGCCCTTTTGGCTCTATCAGTGGTACTGTAAGATTTTCATGTTATGTTTTTCCATGGTGCAGACGTGCCTGGAAATGCATGGCTATAATATACACTCACCAGCCACTTTATTAGGTACACCAAGCTAGTACTGGGTTGGACCCCCTTTTGCCTTCAGAACTGCCTTAATTCTTCATGGCATAGATTCAACAAGGTGTTGGAAACATTTGTCAGAGATTCTGGTCCATATTGACATGATAGCATCATGGGCCCAAAGTGTGGCAAGAAAATATCCCCTACACCATTACACCACCACCAGCAGCCTGAACCCTTGATACAAGGCATGATGGATCCATGCCTTCATGTTGTTTACGACAAATTCTGACCCTACCATCTGAATGTCACAGCTGAAATCGAGACTAGGCATTGTTTTTCCAATCTTCTTTTGTCCAAGTTTGATGAGCCTGTGTGAATTGTAGCCTCCGTTTCCTGTTCTTAGCTGACCGGAGTGGCACCCTGTGTGGTCTTCTGCTTCTGTAGCCCATCTGCTTCAAGGTTGGACGTGTTGTGCATTCAGAGATGGTATTCTGCATATCTTGGTTGTAACGAGTGGTTATTTGAGTTACTGTTGCCTTTCTATCATCTCGAACCAGTCTGCCCATTCTCCTCTGACCTTTGACATTAACAAGGCATTTTCATCCACACATCTGCTGCTCACTGGATATTTTCTCTTTTTCTGACCATTCTCTGTAAACAGGAAAGATGGTTGTGCGTGAAAATCCCAGTAGATCAGCAGTTTCTGAAATACTCACACCCGCCTGTCTGGCCCAACAACCATGCCATGTTCAAAGTCACTTAAATCCCCTTTCTTCTCCATTCTGATACTCGGTTTGAACTTCAGCAAGTCATCTTCAACACGTCTAGATGTCTAAATGGATTGAGTTCCTGCCATGTGATTGGCTGATTAGCTATTTGTGTTACCAAGCAATTGAACAGGTGTACCTAATAAGTGGCCGGTGAGTGTCAGTGCCGGATCCAGGGGGGGCCAATGGGGCAATTGCCCCCCCCCCCCCCGAGATAGAGCCGCTCCCACCCGCGGTACCGTACCAGGAGTACATCCCCGCACACGGCCGGGACATACAGCTGTCAATCTGTCACAGAGCTAACTGCGGTTCCGTTGTAATTACACGGCCGGCCAGGAGCTTTACATTCAAGCTATCGGGCATCTCTAGAGACGTATAGCTTGTATTAGCCGCCGCTGTCACTGCCGGCACAGCTCTGTGACAGGAGATCAAATGGAGGTCAGTATACGGTCTCCCTTTGATCTTCTCTCAGTCCCCGAATGCAGGAAGTGATGTATATTACATCACTTTGTACATTCAGTGTCAATCTCCAGCTACAGAAGCTGATGAATCCGATCTCTGCTTCATCAGCTTCTCTGGGGGTTCCTAGGTGACATTAGGGGTCTTGGAGACCCCTGATGTCTCCATAAAGAGGACCTGTCATGTAAATTGGCTATCACATAGGGGGCTTCTTAGCCCCCCATGTAATAGCAATAAAGTTGTCTGTATAAAAAAAAAAAGTAATGCAAAAATTAAAGAATCATTCAAAAAAAAAATAAAGCATAAAATGTTTTTAAAAAGATAACATTTTTAAGTCCCCGCCCCCACATACACACACAGATATGCGTCGGGTGTGCCTATGTGCGAAAACGACGATTGCGCCTATTGTTTCGCACATGTTACATATCACCGCAAACATCGGAGTGAGAGCAATAATTTTAGGGCCATTAATCTGGTGAGGGTATAGTGGGCAGTATGTCGGACTGCTACAGCTTTAAGAGGAGGATAGAAGTCAGTCTCTGTCCAGACCTGCTCCACCTGCTGCTGTGCTGTGATGAAAACTGACTCTGATGTGAAGGGAGGACTGCGGACTCTGATGTGAAGAGTGACTTCTGATGTGAAGGGAGGAATCTTATGTGAAAGAGGGGGATTCTGATGGTAAGGGAACTCCTGATGTGAAGGCATACCAGACTCATATCTAGGATAAGTGTCTGGTATAGATTGTCGGGGACCACAAGTTGTTTTTACATTTATATTTTTTTACATTTTAGACTAGGGTGTCTTAAGATGTTGCATACTTTTAAAGGGTGCCCTGACTGAAAAAAAGGTTGAGCAGCACTGCTTTATGGGTCACAGCCACCAATTCAGACACATGCCTCGTAGAGGTAACTGTGGCAAGGAACACAGCATTGCGAATGTGAGTGGAAAGGGGAAATTCTCCAATAGGTTCAAGGGCAGTTTTTGAAGATCTTTGATAACCAATTTTAAATCCCACAAAGAGATGAAAATGTATTTCCTTTCATCAAGTGAAGTATGCCTTCCATGTACAATGGTATATCTTCTGGGAAGTGGACTTTTAACATTTTGGAGATCATTTATTCAGAAAGGTGCCTGTCCCTCAAAACCTGGGCTTCAAGAATCATGCTGTTAAATCCAATGACTGTAAACAGGATGGTAAGCCAATCCTTGGGATTGAAGATCGGAATCGCCTGGAAGAGCCCACGGAGTGTCTGCCAGGAATTTGATCACGTTGGAGAAGCACATTCTCCGATGGGCCATTGAGGAAAACAAGAATGCTCTCCATCTCGATCCTGCAGAGCAGATAAGGAAGGTGTTTCAGGGGAGTACAGGAGTAGATCAGGTAGAACTAAAGGCCAGGGGGTCTACATTCAGTGTTCCCCACCTGTGACATAGGTTCTGGAACACTTAGAGTTGTAGGGACCATTCCCCCTGGTCCAGGGAATATTAACTGCGGATAAGGCTTAAAATGAAGTTATGCCCAAATCAGGGTTATTTCTACTTCACCTGCCATGGTAAGACGTCTGGTTCCTCCTGATGCACGTCACTGCCATGGTATTGTCTGATTAGATCCTAATTGCATGACCCTTCACCAAGATGTCCGGCTTTAGGGGGACAACCGAATCACTTGAAGCTCCAGAATGTTGATCAAGAGTAAGAATTCCTCCAGCGTCCAAGTTCCCTTCAGCGACAAGGTGTCTATGACTCCTCCCAGCCTGTCAGGCTATCGTTCATTGTAATGACCTTCCAAGATATCAAAAGGAAGGATATTAACTCCAGGGCTGGATTCCTCAGCCACAGGTCAAGAGCAACCTAGTCTTTGGTGTCAGGTGAATCGGTTTCAGTCGGGGTCCAGACACTGAACCAATATGTCCCATGCTGCCAGGATGTTGAGCTGCAGGGGCTTGGAGTGAAACTGGGCAAATGGGACTGCCTAAAAAGAGCAGATAGTTTTTCTAGCAGAAGGAAAACTCTAGCCTAAGCTGTGCCCTGGATCAGACCCAGATAGTCTAAGCAATAAGTCAATATAAATGTATCATGGTTCAGGATCCAACCAAGCCCTTTTAAGGTCTGAACCATCCCCACCAGATTGTTGGATAAGTCCCACACCGACTGGTTTCTCAACAGGAGGTCGTCTGTATACCCCCCAAAGGGAATGCCTAGGCAAGCAAAGGGCTAGAATATTGGGGGTGTGGAAGACAGACCGAATAGCAGAGCCTGAAACTAAAAGTGCTGAGGGTTCACAGCAAAATTAAGGAATCATTGATGTGCTGGAAAAATAGGGACATGCTTGTATGCATCCTTAATTTCTACAGAAGCCAGAATGTCTCCCTAATGAAGGGAGGTTATGACAGGACAGGTGGATTCCAGTCAGAATTTTTGGGATTGAATAAAGACTTTCAGTGCCTTGAGATCCCTTTGACTTTGAAAAGGTTGCAATAAAATCCTTGAAATCTTTCCAACACAGAAACAGGGGCAATAACTCCTTGCTCCAGACAACTCGCAAGGGCTACATTGAGGTCTGCTAATCTGAGCATTGACGCAGAATGATTGGTAGACATGAAGTGCATCTGGGATGCTGTCTGTCCAGGTGCCCACAAAGGATAACAGATGTCACACCACTTTGTAAAGTGGGGGTACCCCTTCCTGCCAATGAGGACTTGGGCTTTTGTGGTAAAACTAGGATCCTGGCTTGGGTTTGGCTTTTGAGGCTGAGGTCTTTTAGTAATGAAGGTAACTCTTTGTCTTGGGTGAGTGATTTTTCTCAACCTGATGCCTAGGCGTCTTCTGCTGGGGTAGATGAATACTTTTACTCCCAGTGACATCCAAGGCAGGGTGTCCAAGGCAGCTTTGAAGAGATGTTGTCCCTTGAAGGGGATTTGTAGTAAATGCTTCATACATGCCTGCTTTGAAGCCCAACATTTCAACCAAACAGTTATCTGCATGTTACCTGGTTGGAGACACATATGGGAACTAAGATGAGGGATATCCATTAACCCAGCTATACTGTAGTGCAGGTCTGTCGGCATGATACACAATTAGAGGATTAGTGCGGAGTAAAGCTAATCCCCTGTCCACAAGTTTGGTCCATTTCTCTAATGTTTCACAGACTAGCATCAGGGTTATGGCAGGTTGCAATGTAGGTCCTGCTAGCGAAAACAAGACTTTGGAGAGAGTCTTTAAAAATGCATCTATGGTATGCCGTATCACTGGAGCATACTCTACAGGAATTGTCATTGCTTTGTTAAGATGGGACAGCTTTGGATTAGCTGTGGGAACAGCCCACTTGTTGATAAAGTCCTCCTCAAATGAGTATTGGATTGAATTGGATTCTAGACTTGTAGCAATAATGACAGAAGATATAGGCTGTTCCGCCATTTATAGGTTGGTATGCACCACATCACTAAGAGCTGAAATGGCGTCTCTCTTCCTGGAAGTTATAGTGGCTAAGAGGTCGTTAAGGCTGCAGGCTGGCCATACAAGGATTCTTCAGGGAAATGCCTTGAGGAATGCTTATGTCATTTGCAGTGACAGAGTCAGCAAATTAAAATTGCAATTTGGCCCATTAAATCCTGCATAACTATGGTAAAATCCTCACAGAGAATGTAAAGACTCAAAAAGAGGACTACGTTCCAGGCTGTCAGCGTCAGGCTCTTGAGAGAGGATAATGCAGGCCACCTTGGAACTGTTAGTGGATCACAAGCCAGAGACATCCAAAACAGCAGGACTTCTCCTCTTGTGATTGGGATCCGACATGTTGCTCTATAAGTAGGGACAACTTAGCCATAATAAAAGGTAAACGTACAAAAAACTGAGGCATGCTGGGAGTGGGAGGGGTTATACCAAACTGGTCACTGTTTTCTTGTTTGCCAATGGCCAAATCCTCCTATAGGTGGCAGTATAACCCAATTGTCCCTAAATCATGTGTCCCTCAATTTTCCAAATATTTATCTATGAAATAAATAACAAACAAAATAAATGAAGAGAATTTAATAACAATGGTAAAGAAATAGAAATAAAAAGCTTTGATCAACATATGAATGATATGGTAACT